GAGGAGGAGGCGCAGGGAGGAGAGCAGGACCAGGAGGAGAGGAGATGGAACAAGAGAACTCAGCAGATGCTTCACGGCCTGCAGGTACGAAACACGCAGCACGAGTTAGAGGTCGGCTGTTATCGTCTACCTCAACAAATAAGGTACATTTATCTACGATGGCATGTTACGGCCACTCTAGATAGAAAATAAAAACACACAGAGGAGTAAATTTATGCCAAAAATCGCAAATTTACTAGAAAAAAATCATGGAAATTTCCAAGTTTGAAAAGTTGAACATTTTCTAGAACAAAAACTTGAACATTTCTGAGTTTTACAGGTAAAACATTTTCGTTTTTCCAACTTTTTCTAAAAATTTTCTGAGATTAATCTCAGACTTTGAACTTTTTTTCATGACTTTCCAAACTCAGAAATTTCCAAATTCTTTTGAAAAATCTTCTAAGATTAATCTCAAAATTTCTAATTTCTTTCTGGCAGATTTTCAACATTTCAAGCTCAGAAATGTTTTTCCTTTTTTTTTTTTTAGAAAAATAAAATTAAAATCAACATTTCTTTGTTTATTGGCAGAAAGGTACTCATTTTTTACAGTGACCCAAATTCGCCATCATATTACTCCACTTCCACATATTTTTGAACCAGAACCCAGACCAGGGAATCGGACCCTTTCTCCTCATATTTTGTTATTTGACCCTTTGGTTCATTCTGTGTAGCAAACACTGAACATTCAGGTAATCTTTAAGTGTGGAAACAGAAAAAAAAACAACGATGTCACGTGAAAAGCAACTCCCAAAGGTTTTACACCCTTCATCCCAATAAACATGGAGGCCAGCTATAATCAGCATTATGTCACGGCAGTTTTACTCTTACGTCACAGAGGGTGATGGCCAAAACTGGAGCCCAGTCGGTCAGCCTGTTGGACCTGTGCAGGAACAACAACAGAAAGCAGGCGGCGGCCAAGTTCTACAGCTTCCTGGTTCTGAAGAAGCAGCAGGCGGTGGAGCTGGTCCAGGAGGAGCCGTACAGCGACATTGTTGCGACGCCGGGACCTCGTTTCCACGTCGTCTAGAGCGAGGCTGCCAGAAAACCTCTGCTCTGACAGCCATGTTTGTTTTCATTTCACTGAAGTCTTACTGATTTGTTTTATTTATGTTTAATTTCTGCCAGCAGAAGTGGAGAAAAATATCCAAAGAGCATTTGCTTTGAAAAAATATATATATATAAAAAAGAAAAGAATATTAAAATGAACTTATTTTGCACTTATCAAATTCCACCATCAGTCTGTGATCGTCTAGCTGTCAGAAACTGGTATTTGTTGTAATCCTGTGTGCGCAGAATGCAACGTGCACCTAATAAGTTTCGTATTTGTCTTCAAAATACCACAGAATAGTATCAAAGCTTTGTTATGGGTAATGAAAACATGAGCTGACTGGAACCCCTGCATGCCGTCTCCAGAAACGAATGTCGTGCTGCTTTAGGGTTTCATCCCTTCACCTTCTACGGATGATAATTTAGCAGCTAATTCAGTGTTCTGCTGTATTACCATGCAGTGTTGTTTGTACGCAAGATTTAACTTCTTTTATACGTGAAAGTAGATTTCTGATTTACTCTTGACCATGAAGCAACAGATCACCAAATTTCTGCTTCCCATTCAGTTAAATCAGCATAATTACTGTTTTTTAGATGCACTTCCTCCACTCCAGCTGACTGTATCAATGTCTGAGCACGTTGTGTATTTTAAAATATGTAATTTCATTTTGTAAAAAACGCAAAGACAAATCATCAAAGTGCTGCAGGTGTTGTCTAGAAGCACTTTAAGTCAGACTGGTTTATGAGCGACAAAAAAATAAAAAGATTTTTCAAAATAAAAACAAGACCAGTGTGAAAAATTACAAAGTCCAATTTATCTTCTGACTGGAAAAGAGGAAATTTGTTATCAGTGGATTTATATTAGAAAATATGAAGTTAAAAAGGTTTATGGAACAAACTATTCCACCATCTAACCATTACTTTGTCATCATTCTGGCGTTTAAAGGGGACATGTTATCCAAAACGCTCAGTTTTATACTTCTATTTGGGCCTAGAGCAGGAAACTGTCATGTAACAGAATCATGTTTTCTGATTGCGGGTTCAATACAAACACAAGTTACAGAATTACATGTTTAATTTATGGCTGAGTTGGCAAAATTACATTCACTTTGGCCCGCAAGTCTGTTTGATGTGATTTTGGCCCAAAAGGTTTGGACGTATGCAAATTGTCTCAATACAAACATCGTATTTGGCCTGTTGTGAGGAACTCCACTGCTCTCAGCGCTGAGCCTTCGTGTCTATTTTCATTGGTCAACATGCTAAAGCTAACAGAGGGGATGGTTGTCATGGAGGAAACAGAAACAGTCCTGGTAATCCTTGAGGATTTATCTGAGTTGATACTTTCACTGTAATCTTTAGGAACACTATTGCAATTTTAGTTTTTCCTGATGTCCTACAACCCAAAAGAAAGTCTGGTTCCTTGGAAAGACCGGAGAGTCCGTTAAAACTGTTGCTCATTGTTTAGGAAACTAAAGGCATGAGTCTTTGTCTGTCCCACTACGTACTAATAACTACAGGAGCAGCCATGTTGTCTCCTTCCGCTGCTTTTCTTCTCTTGTGTCGACTTCTTTTCTTCTTCTCTCCTGGTTCCGTCTTCTTCAGCGCCGGCGTCGGCACACCTTTCTTCTTCTTCTTCAGGCAGCTCAGAGGGTTGGGGTTGCTCTGTTTCCTCTTCCTCTTCTTCCCCCGCCTCTCCCCGACTTTCTGGCTGATGCCCTGCTCCTCCTTCAGGCTGCGGATGCTCTGCTGCTGGGCCAGGGGCACCAGCTCCCCGAGCTGAACGGCCTGGACGTGGTCCAGGGACGCCTGGCTGGGCTTGTCCAGCACCATGGTGTTGAGGATGATGTAGAGCAGAGGGACGCCTGGGATCTTTTTGAGTCCATCAGTTACTGCACGGTCCTGCACAGAAATGGACAACAGGATTTTGCTATTATGCAAAATAAGGTTCTAAAAAAGCCTAAATTGGAAAGCAATTTATAATTTTCCTTCCATTTCACAGCAATTTTTACAATCAAAGGGCCTCTTGTGTCTTTAGTCCGGCTAAATAAAACTGATTAAAAGCCTCAAAGATTAGATGATCTTGTGAAAAAAGATCACTTATAATTTTATATACTGTATATATATATATATATATATATATATATATATATATATATATATATATGCAGAATATGGACTGGAAGCCCCGAGGTCAAATTGAAAGAAACTAATCTGGAAACATTTTTTTTTACCTAATTTTGTTACTTATATCAATTACTGTCATCTTGGTCCTTAAATTACCAAAATTACAACTAAGTCTGATGGTGTAATTTTTAAATATTAAGTTATTAATAATTTCATCAGTTACTCAGTTACTCAGTACCTGAGTAGACTTTTTAACAAATACTTTTTTATCCTTACTTGAGTAGTTTTTTGGACGGCTACTTCTTACTTGAGTAAAAATATGCTGAAGTAGTCCCACGTTTACTTGAGTACTATTGTTGGGTTCTTTACCACCTCTGATGTGAGTGCGTACCTGTGTGGCAACAAAGTAGTGGTGTGGGTTCGTCTCCTCCAGCATTGACAGCAGACACTCAGACGCTGGGACTGGATTTTTCAGATGTGCACATTTCCTGACCTGAAACCTCTGCAGGATGATCTTAGCTCCATAAAGCTGCTTCCCAAGAGTCTCAAGTTCCTTCAAAGCACAGCTACGGATGAGACAAACGCATAAGCACGCAAGATAAAACGGATTAACATGAACGCTGCCCGCAAACAAATAAAGGTTTTCACCTTGTGGTGCAGAGCTGGATTTCTCCCATCAGATATTTGGGCATCTGCTCCTTGATCTGGATCTTGTTCTTCAGCGCCGCCTGACAGAAAGTTCCGTCAATGAGGATCTGAAAAGGCTCCCTGAAACTGAAATTATATTTGTAAAAGCTGATCGTTTTCTTAGCTTGTTTCTGTCTTTTGATCTTCATGTTGGATCGTTTATCGCTGGAGCTTTACGTCGCTTAACTGGTTCAAAAATAAACCCCACTTTTGCTTTACTTTAGTGGCGACAGCACATATTTACAACCAGAACCAGCATGGACCCTTGCAGAGAAAACAACACGCTTTGTTGCATACCTTTTACGAGTCCGATTAGAAACAATGAAGCGAGAAAAGTTCCGGTTTTGTGCAACATTCTGTTCCCGCTGTGTTCTGCAGCTGCGATTTCTCGGTAAAACGATTCACATAATCATGTCGATAAAAATAAATAAATAAATAAATAAATAAATAAATAAATAAATCTAGATATTAAGGAGTTCCTGAAAAAATAATTAGTTCCCATGTTACAGAGGGGGAACAGATTATTTTATTTCAAGCTAAAATATTTGTTTCCCCACAGGTAAATTTGGCAATTAAACAGCAAATGTTTTTACTTTTATTCACGTTTGGCAAAAAAAATTACTTCGGCCATTATTTTAGAAAGCCGGGGATTTGAAAATTGAGGCTCGGGGTGTGTCATTTTTATTTATTTAAATTATTATTGCGTAAAAATGATAAAATAATGTACAGAACAGTGGGTAATGAAATAATAGAATACATAGTTCACAAATAGAAATAAGTAATAGAGATATTAATTTCAAGGATTCAAGCGGCTTCATCTGTGGGATTGGGTGAGGTGCGTATGGTTTCTGCATAATGTAGTAATTTGCATAAAAACAGATTACGCAGAGACGTCTTGACAGAAAATTTGCATTTTTGAATATAAAATTCAGCTAGAAATAATATTATGTTAATTACATGAAAAGTTGCTTTTAGAGGAGCAGGCATTGTAGAAACCAAAAAGTACATCTGTGTACAAAAGTGAAAAACGACTGAAGATGTTAGCCTGCAACAGGGGGTGTGTCTGAGCGTCATCACGTAGATACGTGACGCATGGTTAGCCCCGCCCCCGTGTTTTCCTTCCGGAAACAGACGTCCTGATGAAGGTAGCAGTGAGGTAGCAGCTGCGGCTCCACACGGTTCATGGTCGGCAGTCACCTCTGACTCGTAGCTCACTTCGGCTCGAGTCGGGAACCCCGCTGAAGTTGGTTTGGCTCGGTGCTTTCTCTTTAGCTCGGCGGCTAACATCATGGCGGCCGCGGATCCACGTTTCTCGAATAACGGCGGGCCGGCCAGCAGAGGAGGATTCCCCGCGGGGGAGAGCAGCAGCGACCGCGACGGGCCGGGCGGCAGCAGCAGCGGCGGCGGAGAGAGCGAGCGCGATCGGGCCACCTTCGAGTGCAACATCTGCCTGGACACTGCCAGGGACGCGGTCATCAGTATGTGCGGCCACTTATTCTGGTAGGAGTTGGTGGTTTGTTGTTGTTTGGGAGTAGTTTGGCCGTTTGCGCGGCCTCCGTAACCCGTTGTTTGTGTGGCTGCTAGCGGCGGAGTCACGCCCCATTATGGCCCGTTTTATCAGCTTGTTGTCTGACTGCTGCCAAGATGGCTTACGAGTTTTGTTTTTGTCCGTTTTGTTTAGATTTTTTATTTTTTATTTTTATAAAAACTCAGCTTTTTCCCGAGAAACGTTTTAAATACCCATTCCATTCTTGATTAGCATATTTACAGCGTTAACGTGTGATCAGCTTTGAAGGGAAGTGGTTTCGACTCATCGTATGATTAGGACCAAAAATGTTCATCAAACGCTAGTTTTTGCGATTAAGGACATTTTTTATCCTTTGTAAAAAGAAAAATATTATAATAATTTCACTAATTTGGATTATATGTAGTTTTGAAGGTGATAAAATGCATTTAAAGTTTATTTAAAAAGATGTTTTGATAATGGTTAATTAAATTCCTGAAGACTTCAAAAATAAAAAGGAATTATAAATGGTTAAAAAAAAAGTCCACTTTCATAGCTAAAGATTAAAAGTAAATCATTACGAAAACATTCAGATAATCTACAGTTAAAGATAAAAGCAGAAAGTCCAAGTTTCTGCATTAATCAGCTGCAATGTTCTTATAAAATCAACATATTTTTGTTCTATAACTGTAGGTGTTTAAAATAAACTTTTCAAAGTCTTTTTCACCTTGAAAAGCTTTCATTCTAGCACTTTCTCTTATCTGAGGTTAGGCTAACCTTGCGCAACATGTAACCTTCGAACCATGTGTGCGAAGTGAAAACAGCTCAGTGATGCGTTTCCTATTCATATGCGGCGCCTGTTCTTGTGCTCCAGTTAAGGCTGAAGGGAGATTACGGCCCAGGAGCAGATCTGGGTTAGCTCTAATGGTATCATAATCCCAGGAAGAAGAAGAAGAAAAGTCACATTCCTCCACCTGGGTACCAGCGGGAGGTTGTGGCTCTATTTATAGTTACCAAGATTTTCAGATTCACTTTCCAGACGTTGTCTCCTCTGAAAATGCTTTGCTCAACAGAAGGAAAAAAAAAATCAGTTTCAGGGTTGAAAAGTTGAACTCAAGCTCAGATTTAATCACAGATATTAACCTGGAGGACAAATAGTCTGAAGCTAATGTGATTCTTATAACTTTTAAAACAAAATTTTGACTCAATCTTTAGCTAAGCATCAATAATAATAATAATAAAGGAGCAGTAAAGTGGTTCATTTTTCTCATGTTTTGCTTAAAGATCAGTGTCTGGGTGGGATGTATACTTAGTGCAACATTTACAGTAACGTGTGTGTTCTTGTACGTTGTGTTTTGTGCTGATGTAATGCAGTTGCCATGTTGCTTTAATCCCCTCTGCTCTTGGAAGTCGAGCTTAATGTGATGAAACTGTGATGAAACTCATCAGCCTGCAGAACCGCCGGGGTCAGCTCACCTGCTGCAACTTCAAATTAACGTTGCATTGGTGCAGCAAACTGCGTCGCCACCGCGGTGTTAATTAGTCAGGAGCGTTGGGTTTGAATAAACGTAGATACGACTAACGAAGGAGCAGATCAGTTCAGCAGCTCTGCTGTCTGTGTTTGAGCTTCAAATCCTTTAAATGTTTTCTTAGACTGAATTAAGTTACAGCTGGTTTCTGTGTCACCAAATAAACACATCGAGGTTTCTGTTACTGTAGCTAGAAATTTAGCACATCAGCATCTCTGTTATGCTTTCATGTTAGAAAAACTTGATGATTTCAACAGTTTGACTCCTCTCTCATATATTTAAATATTAACAGAAAAAGCTGCAGTTGAGAAGCAGCTGCTCATCTCTTTATCTTCTAAAAAGGAAGAGAAGCGTCACTGATTTCTGCAAGTAAAACACAATAAAGCCTTTTTCTCACCTCACACAGTGTCACATGTCTTACATATAATTATCAATACATTTTTATGTCGGTATCTAAAGTTCTGGGGACATTTTTGGCCCTTAAATTATTTTGTTTCTTGACAAAAATTCAAGAATTGTAAAGAGTTTGGCCAACAAAATAGAAAACAATTGATGACCCAAAAAAAACAACAACCCAAAAGCACTCTTTGAGCGGCCATTTTGTTTGACGAGCATGTTTAATGCTTATTTTTATTTGAGCTTTGAATTCAGGTCAAATTTTTAGCAAAATACTAGAAAAGGGCTACGATTTTATTGCTTTAATGTAAAGTCATAATATTGTCAGAATAATGTCGTAATATTAGGAGAATATTGTAATTTTATAAGAAACTAACAAAAAAATTAAATTAAAATGAAGAATGTTGAGCATATTGTGAAGTTACACTTTAGTACAAGTTTTAAAGATAAGTCTTAACACTTCATAGAAATACTTCACCTTTTAACATTCCAGCATCAGATTGGTTTCAGTATCAGGACTTTGAAATGATCACAAAAACATCTTGATAATTAAGTTTTTCTCATTAAAACAACTTTTTTCATGTATTTTTAAGGTTTTTTCAGGTAAAATTGTTTCTCCTCTGCTAATATTATCACTATATTCCCATAAATAAACAAAAATTCTTGTTTTATTAAAGAAGTTGGAGGTTAAAAATATAAACATAACAGATTTGCCTGGTTTTGATCAGTAAAGTTGTGGCTGATTTCCTCCAGCAGACTTCCTGCAAACGCAGCAGCAGGTGCAGGCGACGTTCTGCTCTCGGTTGCACACCTGACCCAATTCTGACTATTTTTAGCCAAAGTTTTCCCCTCCGAGTCGGGTCCAAGAACAAAGAAAGTATTCGCAGAATAAACACAAAATTTTAGTCAAGTTAATGTTTATTTATGTGGCACATTTACAACAACCTCAGCTGACCGAAGTGTTTCACAACAATTACAGCATCATGGATAGATGTGTGATAAAACAGTTTGATTTAAAAAAATAATAATAAAAGGATTGGCAGTAAAAAAGAAAGATAAATACTACGAATAAAAACCAAACATACTTATATTCCCAAAAACTTTAATCGATTAAGTGCGAGTTGTTTCCCTTCTTTTATAAGAAGATTGTCTTAAATTACGAAAAACCATTTTGATGAGAAAAAAAGCTTTAATAAATACTTTATGTTGGAGTTTACTCTCCAAATATTACAACTTTATTCTGGTAATATTAAGGCCTAATTCTCATATTAGTTTGACTTTATTGTCATATAATTTTTTAATCTTGTTAAAAAAAAACAAGCATTTTGTCGTAGGGTTGACAATGGGAGCTGTAAACAAGATGGCCGCCTCAGGCGCGCTCAAAATCATGATTTACAAAAATCAAATCTTCAAAAAAAAATTCACCTTCTTTGTATTTTTTTATTTAGATGCTTGTTTCTGTATCATTCCAGCAGAAACATTAAAAACTAGAGGAATATTCAAATTTTCATCCTCATCCAGACCCTAAATCTGTCCAGAGAGTTTTTCCCTCAGCGTTTCCCCACACACTGAAGCAGCAGGTCAGGAAATCAGCATTAAACCAAACAGGCAGCAGGAGCGACTTTAACAAAACACATCTATTCTGCAGGGTTTTTTCCCCTCATCGCCTCTAATCTGACGCTTAACATGAATTTCCTGCAGGAATGTTGATCTGAGCATTTAGAGAAAAGGACATTCTTGGAACTAATCTTTGTTTATTTCTGCCTCTGCAGTTGGCCCTGCCTTCATCAAGTAAGTACCTGCTTTGTTGTCTCTTTTACACCCAATTACACACAAACAGGTGGATAAATATCTTTTTTTTAAATGGTGCGGATTTGTGGAAAAATCCCAAAGACTCAAATCCAAGTGAAGAAAGTTGCTATGAAAATCTAATGTTCACATGTTGTAATATTTTATCCTCTAAGTAACTGCTGCCTATAAATTACAATTGAAGTCCAAATGTACCAAAACTGCTATCCATAAAATCTATAAACTGTCCCTTGATTCCACATCGATTTAACTAAATAAAAACAATATTTCAATTGAAATCTTCAAATTTTTCCTGACATTTAACTCGATTAATGCATCGTTTTTAAGTTTTCTGCCAAATTGTCTCTTTTAAACGAGGTTTCTTCTTGTTTTCCTTCTTCTTCGTTTTCAGTGGTTGGAGACGCGGCCCAGCAGGCAACAGTGTCCCGTCTGCAAGGCGGGCATTAGCAGGGAGAAAGTCATCCCGCTGTACGGCAGAGGGAGCTCCAGCCAGGAGGACCCCAGGTATGTCTCCGGTCCGGTCCTTGTTCGGTTCTGATCAGAACCGCTGTGAGAGCGTATTTTGGCTACGTTCACACCGCATACTTTAATGCTCAATTCCGTTTTTTCTTTTTGTTTTGTGGTCGTTCACATTTCTAAAATATACGGTATGCGACTTGTATCTGATCTCCCAATAGCAAACAACCTGAAAGTGTCTCGCATGCGCAGTGACGTCACACGCAGAGAGCGTGCTCAGTGTTTTGCCAAGAGCCATGAAGAAGAAGAAGAAGAAGAAGAAGAAGAAGTTGTTTACGGAAGTAAACATGGATGCTAATGTGTAGCGTACCTTGCGATTTTACAGTTTTTATCCGACCAGAGTCAGCACATTAACAAGTTAACCCTCATTATAGTCCGCTGTGGCCGTTGTTTTTCTATTTGCGGTCCCAGAATAGTGACGTTTTGTCGAGTATCAATGACGTTCAGGTCGAATTAATCATGGACATAATGATGAATTCATTAGGACTGCTCG